CCTAAGATAGGAAAAACAAAATCAAGAACATTCTACATAGGTAAAAATCTAGAACATTCCATATAAGTTGTGGCTAGTATGTTCTAGAATAATCTATAGGTCTATAAAGACCCATGTACTCTACCTTTAGAAGCAAGCCAATCATTGTCAAAATAGTAAGATATGGGGTAAGCAAAGTGTTGATTGACCAAGTGAGTTTGGTCAACCTCCTATACTGGAAGATTTTCCAACATATGACTTGTCGGAGAACCTTATTGTTCCCTACAATGAGCAGATCGTTAGGTGTCAGTCAGGACAACACTGAGAAAAGGGTCAGGTATCTTCTCGTGGACCAACACATCCTATAGTGTCTTGCTCGGATGACCGTGTTTTAACGTGTGTGGTGCCATCATTTCAACGCACCACCTAGTTATGAAGAAATGAGTGAACCACAAGACAGGCCAACTATTATTTATTGCGACAATGAATTGACAATAGCAATAGCGAAAGATCCAGTCCATCATCAAAGAACAAAACACATAGCTATTAAGTATCATTTCATTCGAGATGAAGAGACAATTAAACAAATTTGACTTGAGTATTGTCCAACATAAGACCGAATTGTAGGTTTTTGTGAAGGCATTACCACGACCAAGATTGGAAGTGCTACACACTATGCTTAGAGTTACCAAATTTGCTTTAATAACGAGTATTAAAGTGTAATGCAAATTCTAGAAGAATGTAGAAGCTCCTAAGATAGAAGAACTGAAATATAACACATATTCTAGAATATTTTAGAAATTCCTAAGATAGGAAAAACAAAATCAAGAACATTCTACATAGGTAAAAATCTAGAACATTCCATATAAGTTGTGGCTAGTATGTTCTAGAATAATCTATAGGTCTATAAAGACCCATGTACTCTACCTTTAGAAGCAAGCCAATATCTACTACAACTAAGACAACTACAACACTTATTCCAACTACTACTTCCACATTTCACTATCTCCACATTTTCTCTACATTCCACTATCTCTACATTTTCTCTATCCCATCGGTTATTCCTTTCACAAACTCAAAATACTAACAATATTATACCAATATTGGACCAAAACAGCATATAAATCCCAGAATTAAGATTCTCATCAGCATAACACCTTAAATACATTTCCAATGTCTTGTTTAAATTCTTAGTTTGTTTGTCGATGATAAGTCGATCCCATTGACAAGATAGTTCCTTGAGACTTAAACAAGTGTTACTAGTAAGAACTAATAAAAACCTTATCCGTGTGACCCAATGGATTTTGGAATTCCATGAGCTTATTTTTTTGGAAAAATCAAATTGCATTGTTGTGTAAAAATTAGAAGGCGGAAAATGAGTAATAAAGCCACATGTGTCATAATAAACAACTTCATGTGATTCTAATAGGTGAGGTGAGGAAGACGAGAGGATAATCAAGAGGAGGAGGAAGAAGAGGGGCAGATGAATCTGCATCTACATGCTAGTAGCATAGCGGGAATGACTTCAAAAAATTGCCTAAAATTATGGGGATAATAACGGGAAAGAAGGTTATAGTTATGGTGGATTCGGGTGCCTGTCATAATATTTTGTCACAAAGTCTAGTTGAGTAGGTGAATATTCCAGTAGAAGAGACTAAGGGGTATTTTGTGGAGGTTAGGTCAAAGGTTGGGAGGCCAGGAGTTTGTATAGGAATGGAGTTGCAGCTGCCCAATTTGAAGATAGTGCAGGATTTCTTTCTATTTGAATTGGTAGGGATGAAAGTAATTCTGGGATTTGAATGGCTTAAAAGTTTGGGCAAGTTCTCAACAGATTTGCGGCAACACGTAATAGAGGTGCAGCAGGATGGTCGAGTCATTGAAATTAATGCAGATACCACATTATCCAAAATGGTGGCATTCTTAAAGGCTTTGAGAACAGGGTTACGAAATGAGGCGAAAGCTTTTTACGTTTACGTTTACGTTGAGTTGGGAATGATGAATGTAATTAAAATGGAGCATCCTTTAAATTTATTGAAGAGAGCCCTGAAAATTTGAAAGAACTATTATCGAAATTCAAGCATATGCTTAACGAGAGTTTATTTGGATAAGTTTTGATGCTAAGAGTTTAGGTCTAATTCAACCTTTTCTAATCTAATCTTCAAGGTGCCAAGTCATTGATGTGGAGAGATGCGTTAGAAATTCTACGTAGAATTAAAATATATTATATAAAGTCTTTGATGTGGAGAGATGCGTTAAAAATTCTATATAAAATTAAAATATATTATATAAGTTTGTTTAAAACTCATTTTATAAACCAATTTTAAATTTTCTTTTACCGAAAGTTAGGTTTAAAAACCATTTTCTAATACTTGAAGTTCTGCCTGTGACTTTTGTCTCTTCCTAGCAGAAACAATTTATTTGGTAAAAATCAATGGATAATTGTCATCCAAAAAGAGAAAATCAGCTTTTCTAGTAAGTGTCATTATATTCCGATGACTCATTAGTGTCATTATAAACAAATCTTTATGATTCTAATACTGTTACCATTGTCTCTTCCGGCTGCTTTCTTGATCCTTAAGATTCCTCTTCCTGCTATAAACCTTCATAACAGGTGGATTACTAACAGCTTTCACTTCCATGTCAATGAATTCATAACTTATGAGATAGACGGCTGTGTTTTTTATCACCAATTCATTCCTAAAAGACAGAAAAATCTCCACCTTGTCTCCAGCTTCCAAATGAGATATTATGCCCTGCCAATCTGCATCATTAAAGGAAATGACTGTGTCTCGCTTGTATAACTGGATGGTGTACTTTGTGTAATTAACCATTACTACACTAATAAGACACTCAGTTGCTACTGTTTCAGGTGTTGCTAAATACACAACACACAGAGCCATTCCCCTAATTTCCCAATCCTGAGGCACAGTGAAATACACTGAATGTCCCTCACCCGTATGAGCCAACCAAAAAGGATAATTGCCTCCTGGCAGCAAAACATGACAAGATCCACTGGTTGCCAATTCCTGCAGCATCAGCAGAATATAGTCATTTATGCAATTGTGCTATTCAAATGTACTTCTTCAGTCATTATCTTGTCATTCCAAATTACAAACATGCATGTTTCAGAACATCACGATGTATGTCATACATGAAAGCACAACTATAGTAGTAATTTAAAACAAATTTGGTTCCTAGTTTTGTTAAATATAAATCAATAGAAGATCATCAGGATCAATTTATGCTTATGACAGGTCTTTTGTTGCCAAAAGGAAGAGAAAAGAAATTCCGAGAAATCACCTATGCCAGCAGGACTTAATTCCGGAAAAATGATGTAAGAGATTAACAAAGAAAAAAGGAGAACAACACAATGTATGAGGTTCAACCAATGTTTCCAATATCCAAGGGAGAAAGCAACTCCACCTTTAAAACTGGAATCCAAATCAAGACACAACGAAGAACCCCTTTCTTTCTCAGTAAAACCCTAACCTCTCGCTCTGGCTCTCTGTGTTCTTTCATCTGTGTCAACTCTATTCTTTCTGGCCTACTTTTCGAACATAACAAGGACTCTTTCTCGCACTCAATTATTTCTTCTTTTGAGGGGTCTAAACTTTACTATATTTTACTTAACAGATAACAAGGACTTTCACAACATGAAACTGAACACACAAGAGCAAGAAACAGACTAATGAAGCAGAATGCTATAATCAGACGAATAAAAAGACAATACTCGTTTTGACTAAGAAACAACATCTCTTAACTCATATTACAAGAAACACAAAGCAAGAATAGCAGGAGGAAATGGAAACCAGTTTCCTAGTGCATAATATGGGCATTATCAGTTAGCTTCTTGAGAATTACTACATGCAATTTTTAAATGAAGTGTGTGGATATTATAGAAGGGAAAAGGTGCTAAAACTAAGGTGAGTATTGAAGTTTCCTTTTGATACCTAGAATTATTTCATGTTCTCTTAAGTAACATCTAAAACTAATAGATAAGGAAGTAGACAAATAGAAAAAGAAGGAACCTTAGATATGCTCTTGTTTAGAGTATTGCAGTCTTCTTCTTTGAGCTCCATTCCAATCAAATAAGATCTCAAGGAATTGTCTGAAATTTCTGATGTACAGGATGCCAGTCCTAACTCAGTGAAATGTACCCATCGTACGTCATTCAAAATTTTTCTTACTTGCTTAGTTATTTGAAACTCCGTGTCACATTGCACCCAAACACTTCGAAGATTTAAAAGGTTGGTAAGAATCGGTGCTAGGTCACCCAAATCAATGTTTTGCATATTCATGGAAATTAGAGATGCTGATATGCCACATAACGGAAGAATACGAGACAGGGGATTCATTGTCGGTGACAACCAGCACCAAATAATAGATGGTAAAACATCATCGGAGAATCCTTTAAACTCACATGGAAAGAGATATCCAATGCTTTTGGAGCTTACTATTGAAAAGGGAACTTTCACAACAGCATTTTCAGCAATTAGAGTTGTCAAGGATTCCATCTCCTGTATATCTTCTTCCAATTTGTCAATCATCTTACAACCAGATAGGATGAGAGTTTTCAAAGATTCCAACTTATATATCACTTTTGGAAGACTGCAAAGGCTTGTACAATTCTTCAAATTTATCAACACAATATTACAGAGATCTCCAATGGACTTGTGTACACAGCGCAAACTTGGACAATATTGAGATGAGCTTCAGATATGTAGTCCAAAAAGGTCAGGAGTTTCAGTCATCGTACTACTTGGAAATCTTAGAGATTGAGGATCTTTAACATCAACAAAGTTCTAACAAAAAGATAGTATTTTGAAAAAAATTAAAGAAAATACAAATGAAAAATGTTAAGGTTAACATAGTTTAGTGCGAAAATTTGCAACTACTACATACCTTGGGTTCTTCCAACCTTTGTCTAAGATTACTGTTTTGAGATAATTGCAATTGCATGCTCCCAGATAAAGGTTGTCAGGTCATTTCTTGAGTGAAATCCCTTGGCCCAATAGATCCATCTCAATTGCTTAGAAAGATGGCCATAATCTCCCATGAGTTCTACATGATGAAGTTGCAACAGTCTCAAACTTCTCATTTCCTCAAAAGCATCAGCTTTAAAGCATTCTCTGTTGTTTAAATTCAATTTCAGAGCCAGTCCCTCAACAGCATCTGTCCCCTGTGATGAAAAGACCAATCAAAAATTGAGAAAACTCAATCGTTAGCTCGGATGTTTAGGCAAACCACGCTTGTAATGCACATGAAAAGGAAAACTCTTTCAATTTTCAAAACTGCATGTAAAAAATGTACTTACGGTACTATTTGTCAATACATCACGGACATCCTCTTGAAACCATAATCTACTGCGCTTCCCAGGTTCTTTTTCTGAAAGTTCACGAATAATCTCTCTTCCCATGTCTGTAGGCTAAATGATGCATCTTGTTAATTGTTCTTGTCTGGACTTATGAGGCCACATGCCTCAGTATAGCAGAGCCGCTTATTCGCAATTATCAGCATATAGTCCCCACAGCCATTTAGTACCTCCGGGACACAGCCTCTTTTCCTTACCAATAAAAACACAACATACATCAAGAAATATTTCTTTTTCCATTTGATCACATAAATTGTCAAAACTTATCCTTAGTTTCTCTTGGACTTGGGTATTGGGACTTATTTTTAGTTTTGACAACACACTTCTCCACTCAGTCATTGTCCTATTACTCAAATAAGAACCCAGAACTTCAAGAGCTAGAGGTAGTCCACCACAATAAGAAACTGCATCTTTTGCAAGTTCATTGAAATCTTCTCTTGGTTTTGCTTCTCTGAACCATGCCTACTAAAAAGTTCAAGGGACTCATTTGCTTCCATTTCCTTCATTTCATGAACATAATTAACTTCAAATTTCTTGAGTAAATGCAGATCTCTAGTTGTATGATTATTACGCTCCTTTCACCCATCCACTGAGTATTTCCGCATAGTGCTTCTAGTTCGTCAAACTCATTCACATCATCAAGAACAATGAGCGCCCTTTTTCCAATAAATCTGTTGTCAATCATACCTTGTCCGATACCAATGTTTTGTATCTCCACCTTTACTTTCAGGATGTCAGAAAGAAGTTTTTCCTGCAAACGACAAGCCCTCTTCTTCTATCTGTTTGACAAACTTCTCTTAATATTTTCGATGAAACTTTTATTCTCGAATAAACGATGAAGTTTATTGTAGATGACTTTAGCAATGGTAGTTTTACCAGATCCTCCCATTCCCCATATCCCTATCTTACAAGAGCTATTGGTTCTTTCAATAAATCTAATCACTTCTTGCACCGGATGATCTAATCCAACAGGAAATTTGGTGATAGAAAAGGCATTATAATCAAGATTGGCAATAACGTGGTTAACAATGTCACGATAGCTCAGCTTCAGTCCTTCAGGGCAATAATAATTATAGATAAAACAGAATGGTCACTATTTTACCAAATTAAATCATAAGAGTTCAAATATATGTCTCCTTCTTAAAATCATAAAACATAAAAGAAGTAGCTTTGTTGAGTAATATAAATTAATCAATTAATTAAATTTTAAAGTACCTCTTACATTTAATTGTCAAAGGATTTAGGATTCTAGGATATTGGAGAAGTAATAAATAAGTTAATGGATGACGAAAAAAATAAAATAACATGTTTCATCCAAATTTACAAGATATAGTTAAATCTGAACTAAACCATAAACTAATTAACAGGAATTAGTTTTTTCTTAACTTTTATTAAATCTGTTTTTTAACTTATATATAAATTAGATTTAATATATGTTTTAAATTAAAAAAAAAAGGTTAGACATATTTTTTATTCTCAAACTATTTTAAGAAAATTATATTTCATGCTAAATTATATTACAGTTCTCTAAAACATTCTCTCAAAAAATAATATCTAAAGGTTTATATTAATATCTATTGTATAATTTTGTTTGTCTGTAAAAACACTTTAATATATATATATATATATATATATGACAAAAATATATTAAAAGTATATTATATAACTATATGATAAACGTAAAAATATTTTGAAATACTTTTAAAATCAAAAATATATTTAATTCTAAAAATCTTATAATAAGTGTTTTCTCCAAATAGATTCAGTGTATTGATTTAACCTCTGTTCCGCCGCATTCCAACCATCTCACCCCGAACAAATTTGCAGCGTCGGTGAGTGTGCGTCTCCAACTCGACAACGCGAATTCCAGATGTTCTCCTGCATACCTACTTTCTGCAGCTGCTCTCAACGCATCTCCAAAATCACCCGTCTGGTGACGTACTTCGGACGGTTCAACATAGTAAAATACAGGCACAACTCTTAGGCCACAAGTTTGGCGGCATTGAAAGATTTTTTGAAGCTCGTCAAGACACCAACTAGATTCAGCGTATCTTTTGGAGAAAACTATTATTGCTATCTGTGACACTTGAATTGCTCGCAATAGTTCTTGCAGCTCCATTCCTTTGAGAAGATTCTCCTCGTCAAGGAACGTTTTGACTCCAGCTTTTGAGAGCGAAGAATGGAGATGGGAAACGAACTTCTTGCGGGTGTCTACTCCCCTGAAATTGATGAACACGTCGTATATCCATTCAGATTTCGCTGAAGGTGAAGAAGACTCGAATGCCATCAGTGGAATTGAGGTCAACGGTTAGGAGAGAACGCAATGATACAAAATACAGAGAGATGATGATCTAGCACCCTTTCTCTTCAATAACTTGTAAGACCCACCACACTTTTGATTTATGATTTAGTAAAGCTTAAATTAATTTTTGAATTAAACTCATAAATAGCTTATCAAACCGAGTAAAAAAAAAAAAAAAAAATGAGTCTCTAATTAACTATGCTGATACGAAATCGTTAGAAAAATATTATGACAGTTTCAAACTCAAAGGGTTAATCACTTAATAAAATTAGTTGGCTTACTCAAATATTTAAATTTTAATAAATTGAAATATAAGATGGCTCCCTCCAACCTCAACTTTTAATTAAATATTAAAATGGACAATTTATTCATTAAATATTTAAATAACTAATTCCTAAAATAATTGTTTTACATAACTTCATTTATGTTATTTTTCTTTTTTTAATTTATGTCAAATATTATTATAAAATTTTTTCTTAGAAAGGTTGAAACATATTATTAAAAAGAAAACAAAAAAATATACGAAGATCAAACCAAATCTATGTTTAGAAAATATAAAGCATCACCCTTAAAGAAAACTATATAATCCAATAACATAACAGAGTTGATACCTAATATTGATTGACCCTGATGTACGTTTGGCAAGTGTACCAATCGTAATTGTAGTAACAAAATATCGTCCTCTGGGATTGAATGAGTTGAGTACCAGTTTACTAACGTACTTAATTTTGAGTGATGAAATTTAATTGAAATTTATCCAGTGAAATGATGAACATAAACAGTGATGGAAATTCACCATGATAATAAACAAATATATAAAATAAGTAAAAAAAAGAGAATTGGGTTCCTACCTTTATTCATATAAACAAATTCTCCCCTAATTTCAATAGGATGTGTCACTTAATAATTAGCCACTTGAGTTTATTTAGAGCCTTGTTTACCCCCTAATCAAACCCTTAAGTAGAAAAAAAAAGCAAACTATAAATCCCTTGATTTGAAATCAAAAACAAACCCCTCCTTAGCCAATTACAAAATTCACACGATCATAGAACAATCATCATCTCAATTCAAACTCACTAGTTCTCTCGCCCAATTTCCCACTGTGACGCATCTAATTTGTTCTATTATAAACGCAAGCAATTCCCAATCTCCCAACTGTGAAACTGCTCATAGAATAGACATTAAAACATAAATAGAACACTGGGATAATTAAAATGAAACAACATCAATTGAAAAGATTCAGAAAGTATAATCAAAAGTACTCCATCAATCCTCTAACAAAATGGAAAATTAGTTCTGCATAATGTAAAAGAAGTCCTAAAGCAAAAGTCTGAAAAAGCTACAGAAGAAGAAGATGAAGAAAACCCTTTGTTGTGCGTGAATCCTTTTTGTCTCCCCCTTCCACGTGTTTTCCCTCTCTCCCATCATTTCCACAATTTCCTCCTTTTTAGGAGAGTGGTTTTCCTTTTCCCTAACTTCCTCCAATTTTCATTTAATTTAATCTCTTTAAATCAGTCATAAAAGAGATCACTAACTGCTCAATAACTGCTCCTGGAAACTTTCACAGCCCATGGAAAATTCCCCACTCTGCTTGTGTTCTTCTCTGCTTTAATTCTGTTTTCTTTCGTGAATCCACAGATTACTCCACAGGTTGTGGGAACTTTCACAGCACAGTTGTTGAACTTTCTGTTTTGCAACTCCATTTAGAAGCAACGTCCACATGTAACTCCACAGGTTGTGAGACTGTTCACAACTTGGTTGTTGAACTCTCTGGTTTCATCTTGGTATCTTGTACATCAATTCTTCCCAAATTGTGATTTTGGCACTTAGAATCATCAATCTACAATAAAAACATAAAATGCCAATGTATGATCCGAAACAAAGATAATCCATGACTAAATCCTTCAATGAATGCAATTATGCATGCAAATGACCTAAACTAAGACATGAATGCAATTACATTTACTCACACATCAGACCCTCTAACCCTTCCATTTCCCTTCAAAATAAAGGATTTTTGTGAATATAATATTGGGATAGTTTTCATCATGTACCCATGTCCAATGATTCGTTGATCGAGGAGCATAAAATAAGAATGTTCGTTATATTAAAAATGGTAAGGACAATTTAAGCAAAACAAGACAAAAGAAAGAAAAAAAGAAGAAAGAAAATGAAGTTGATGTGTCAACTGCTACAGAGTTTTGTCTCAAGGTTAAGGTTGTGTAAAATAAGGCAACCAAGCTTCAAAATGATGTGTGGCCATTTTTCCTTTCATCCAAATGATGAAAGAAATTTATTCAATTGCTCACCCGAGACAAGAATCATTAGCATATCGATGTCAACCCAAAAGGTACATCAAGGACATCCAAAGTCAATGAGAAGATTTCTTGGAAAAAGGAAAAGAAAAAGAGAGTCGCAAAAAGGGCTGCAACAGGGGCAACGATACGAATGACCTAAAGGGAAAGAAAGAAAATGAAAAAAACAAAAAAAATAAAAGGATGTCCAGAATTTCAAACTCTTGGAGACCTCTTGACTCGACACCTTGTAGATGATTCTTGTTAAAATAATTTAACCGTTAAACACTTATTTGGGCCTTCATTATCCATTTCTTTCATAACATTTTGCCTTTTAGCCATGGTATAAGCCGATTAAAGTCCACGTCGACTAAAGAATATTTGTCCTGATCTTTCTCACGAACTTAACTCCGAAACAAAATGATGTGGTGAATGACACAATCACTAGAATAAAAGAAAAAGACAGCGGAAATGAGAAATGAAAAAAATATAATGTAAAGTCTCCAAATCAAACCTATTGTGCGCAACAAAATTGGGGCAGCCTTGTGAACCCCGCATGTTTTCATGTTTAAATGTTAACAACACCTTCCCGGATGAGGAGAACACAAATGTTAATGTTGCCCACAAATAATCATTCAGCCTTTTACTTTTTCATCCCCATTTCCTATACCTTCTCGAGTTCAAGCCAACTTGGATTGCAGGAAGCGGTAAAGGGAAATTAAACTCATGGTTACACTCTTTTCCTTCTCATTAGAGTATTCACCGTCTCTGGACTTTATTTTCAATGAATGTGTTTTGAATGTACATCGAGTTTGACGACAATGTTGACAACAAATTCCAAACATGTGCACAGTTTGATTAAGGGAGAGAAAAACAATGACAAAAAGCAAAATGAAGCAAAAGAAAAGAACAAAATAAAGGTTTCATGCGTTTATGCATTCATGCACCCTCATGACATTGTACATACATCTCATAAGAAATATGGGAAAATTGTTTCAAAAAAAATTGTTTAAGGAAAGAGAGAAAGAAGTTGTGAAAAAGGTTATTGCGACCTTTGTTTCTAAGTCTCTTCAATGTTTTTGTTCAGTATTTACCAACTTTTCAAAATTTGAATCCAAGTTTTCGTCCGGTATTAGCCCTTTGCTAGGCAATGGTCAAACCTCGATTTTCTTTTTGAGATATCGACTCTCTGCTAGGAATTGGTCGAATCCAATTTTTCGTTATGTAATGTTGGCCCTCTGCTAGGCAATGGCCAAATCCAGTTTTTTCTTTTGTATATTGGCCCTCTAGTAGACAATGGTCGAATTCAGTTTTTTCTTTTGAGTTTCGACCCTCTACTAGGTAATGGTCGAATTCAGTTTCTCTTTAGGATTTTTTTTCCTCTGCTAGATAATGGTCATACCTAAGCTTTTTGTTTTGTGATGTTGACCCTTTGTTAGACAATGGTCAAATCCAAATTTCTGTTTTAGTATGTCAGTCCTCTGCAATGGTCGTATCCAGGTTTTCACCTTGACCCTCTGCAAGACAATGATCAAATACAGTTTTTTTTTTTTGTGATACTAAGAAAAAGTATTTGTTTCATTTTTCCTTTCTTGTATGCTTTTTTATCTTTATTTTATTTTATTTTATTGTGTTTTATTTTTATTTGCTTATTTTCGTTCTTTATTTTTATTTGCTTATTTTCGTTCTTTATTTTAATTTTTATTTTCGAACTTCTTTTTTGATTTTTATAAAAAGAAAAAAAAAAGGAAACAGAAAATGAGAAAATACGAATGCGACAACTATGCTGCAGCGTCTTTGGTTTTGCCGGAAGAACCCCTGTGCGTGCAGGAATGAAAGAGGAAACTGCTGGGAAATGTTTTTTGGTAGTAGGGAGGGTTTGGCCGGAAAAAGTAAAGGAGAGAAAATAAAGAAAAAATCCTAAGTCGGGAGGAGGGGGATCTTTCAGAAAAAGCAAAGAGGGGAGAGTTTTTCTGGACATGAATTGTTTCATCACCATTCACTCCCATTACCGAGTTCTCTTCTACTTAAGAAAAAAAAAAGACACGAAGAAAGCTTCGAGAGACCTCATTACCAGAGCCTAGACACACAACTCTACCTCACCTCCACCATCAACTTTAATCAACTCTCGTCTTTAATCGACTCTCGTCGCCGCAGCTATCCTTCATTTTTACAAAGCAAAGAAGGAAGTTTCTTCAAGCATCCAATATCACCAAAAAAAGAAGTGAAGTTTAGTCAGAAGGGAAAGAGTTACAAGAAAAAAACGCAAACGTACATGTTATTCCTGAATAATAGCTTATGGTCATCTGCTTGCTTTGAGTTGATAATGCCTCGTTTCGTTTTTCTACTCATGTTTGGATTAGCCATATAGTCATTGGGATAGAATTTGGGATGATATTTGATTTATTGCATTTGGCTTGTTTATGTAACTTCGTATGATCGACCCTCCATTGATTCCCCTTCATAACTCATCATCTGTTCTGACGGGGACCATCTTCTTGGTATCTTCTACGGTTCTATATTCTCCTCCAACAGAGTTCATCTCTTCAACCTGCACACAGAAAATATCACAGAAGCCATATCCAGAGAGGAAAACATCACTTTCCCCTTCAATTCCTCCCTATCATACCATGCCAGAAAGCCAAAAAAAAAAGATACCCAGCCTCTGCTCCTTCTTCTCCTGCGTCAAATGGAGCCAACCGCCAAATGAGATTCAATACACCTACCTGTTTCAATTTCTGAATTACCACATCAAATTTCATTCATAAGCATTCCTCTCATCTGCAAGAAAAAGAAACCTAACCCAACCACCCCGAATTGATTACGGTAACCACAAACCAAAACAGATAATGAAACTATGCCTCCGCGCCTCTGTTCATCTCCAATCACCAACAAAGGAGTTGAATCCTTGAGCAAGAAACCCACACACAGAAAACCTAGAAATCCTTCTTCAATCTTCATTCATCTGTATTCATGAATACGGTCTAGTTCAATACTACTCCCAACTACACCATTAGAGGTGGCATAAACAAAAAGAGGGAAAGGGTTTCCCAGCTTGCGAGCGATTTCTGTTTGAAGCGCTGCTCCCATTCACGCACCCCTTTGTTTTTTTTTTAGTTGGGCCTTGAGCCCAATGTCACTTCTGAAAACCTTAATGAAGGTTTAGGCTTTGGGCCATTTCTCTAGACACCCAATCCGTGTTTGGCCCAGTGTTGTTTTTATTTTCTTGATGCACCATTGGATTTTATCCCCTATACCTTCACTGGGCTTTTATTTGCTTTACTTGCTGCACCCTTGCTTTTATTATGTTCTATGTTCGTATGTGTGTCTAGTTTTCTTTTTGTGCACCCTCCTAGCTATTAACTTCACACCTCATTTATATGTACTTTTAAACTTTTATTTATTTATTTACCTAATAATTATTATATTTTTATATTGTAAAAATAATAAAATTAAAATATAAAACTACAAAAAGTGATTTTTCAATCTTTAAAAGTATAAGTACTCATATGATCGCTCAAATCGTCCTAATACTTAATACTTTTCTTTCTCTTTAAGAATAATTAAAAAATATATTTAAGCTGTGTTTTAAAAGTTGAACACTCGTGTGATCGTCCACATCGTCCTAGTGTTCGGTACTTTTCTTTGACCTTTTTAAAATAAATAAAAATAATGTTTTCAAAGTATAAGCACTTGTGTGATCGTGTGTATCGTCAGTGCTCAATACATTTCTTTCTCTTTTAAATTAAATATCTTTCTTTCTAAAAGTATGAGTACTCGTGTGACCATTCACGTCGGCTTAATACTCATTACTTTCTTTCTCTCAACCGGGTCAAAAATACCAAAAAATACAAAATCTTCAAAAACTAAGAATATCTACATTTTCTAACAAACAATCAATCTTTCAAAGAACTACGTAACCTTGATTTCTCATTCTGAATGAAAATACTTAAGAGTAAGGTCAATTCTTGTCGGACTCAAAAAACTAAAAATATATTTTGTTTTTAGAGTGTCATTTAATTTAGGATAGTTAAACATTTTGAAAATAAACTAGGATCCGACGACCATGTCTTTCTTTATGGATTTTATATAGTTTTCCAAAATAAACTATGGTGGCAACTCCAAATCGTTTTTCAAACTCGTTCTTTTTTGGTTCGTCGTTCCGTCATGATTTCGGTTGCGACAATACTCTTTTGTTGTTACGGGTGAATTTTATACAACAAGAAAAAGAAAGTTATAGTCTCATATGACCATAGTGAGTTTTTTTTTATCCCAATAGCGTAATTTCTTTTTTATTTTTCGAAATAGATAACTTTTAAAAAAATTAGATAATTTCTAAAAATAAATAACTTTTAGAAAAATTACAAATATTGATGTCATATATAAAGCGACACGACTTCCATGTGAAGAAATCCTACTAAGACAATACTATCTTAGTTCAAAGGATTTTTAAAGTTGAAGTCACATTAATATAGCATGACTATAATTCAAAATATGTTAAGATGTTATCCAACACTACTTTTAAAATTGACCTAAAATCATATCATCATTACACAACATTATTTAAAATGCAATGAATTGAAATTATACTACATTAACACTTTAACGGAAAAATGTTTTGACCTAAAGTTATGAAATCTTGTTACAATTCTTAGTAAACTCGTCTCAAGATTATGCTAATTACTTAATTTTTTAAAATATTATTCATTTTAATGAATTTAAAATAAAAATGACAGTAATTTAGTAAAAAATAACGATCATAGTGGTTACAAAGAAATAAAAGCATAATACACTTAAGGAAAGGGAAGACACTTCCAATGAGAGAGGATGAGTGCAATCTTCGTGACCCTAAGCCCCTCATTCCCTACCTTCTTACTATTAGTCGTTTTTACCGCCATATCATTAGGGTTCGTTAAATCTGTTGGGAATCCAAGTGTGAGTCCAAGTTTTCTATTGGATACAAATGAGAAAGTGGAACGCTATATAAAGGTGAAAGACTCATTAATCCATTGTCTTAAGGTTTTGGATAGAGAGTGGTGTCAATCCCTTATATATGGTTGGACTTAGATCTTATTGGTGTTTGTATGTCTCTAGTGAACCTCTTCCTTGAATAGACCCAAAAGTGGTATCAGAACCGATGATTTGTCTTTCTAACTAACTGAGACGAGTAAGCCTATTACCTTAAGGTTTTGAGTAGAAAGTAATTGATCCATTACACACTAGATAGACAGCTGTCTTCTGGACTTCAAATCCTTTTTCAAAAATAATAAAAATCTCCAACTGCTCTCCACATCCTATATGTGATATCACGTCCTGCCAATCAACATCATTCAAGGAAGTTATTGTTTCTCGATTGAATAACTGGATTGTGCACTTTGAGTAATTAACCACTAAGACACAAATCAGATATTGAGTTGGGTCTCCCAAGCGTGATAAATGCTCAACACACAAAATCATTCCATCCATGTGAAAATTGTCAGGCAAGGTGAAAGTGACTGAGTGTCCCTCATTCATATAAGCCAACCAACGAGGATAATTGTCACTAGGGAGAAAAACTTTACGAGACTGTCTGCCTGCCAATCCCTGTAGCATGAGAAAAATAGCTTTGTCATTTTGAAATTGTTCTGTTCATATGGACTTCTTCCATCATTTTACCATTTCAAAGTACAAAACACACAATTTAAGAAAATAACATGATGCTGAATAAATTACACCATAATTCTCGTAAGTAATTCGCTTAGAAAGTGGAATTAGACCCAACTAAATACTACAAAACCTGCTGGTATGTGAAATTTTAATTTGAGAATTATGTAAAATTTCACATATTATTAGTTATTTTGAGATCTCTAACACTCATTTTTGTTGAGGATTGCATATATCTAGCATATTATGAATGCTTTAATAGTTGTATGATGTTACGATATCTCCAAAAAAATTTTAACTCTAAAAAATCAACTTATAAAATAAGCTTTAAATTAGTTATGTACTATAATTTAGTCATACTTCCATTTGATATCAAACTTCTAACAAATTCAATCAAATTTGGTTTAATAGTTTTGGTGTGTATAAATCAGCCAATCATCTGGACAAAGATCTTTCAACAGATAACTTTTTATTATCTATGTGAATATAACCAGAATGAGGCAAGCATTACAAAAGGTGGAAATCAACTTCCTAGTGCTTGATATGAGCATGATCACTCGGCTTTTTGAGTATTAGAAAAAGATATTTTAAATGAAGACAGGTGGTTATAGAAGGGGAAGGTACTAAAAGAATGTTAGGATTGAAGTTACTTTGTATTTAATGGAATGTTTCATGTTCTTAAAATTAACAGCAAAAATGAATAGTAAAAGTAAGTAGATAAAGTAAAAAAGAGATGGAACCTCATCATAAATGCTTTTTCGGAGAGTATTGAAGACTTCTTCTTGATAACCTCCAAATTGAATCAAATATGGACTGAATGGATTGTTGGAAAGTTGTGTAGATGTAGTCCAACTTACACGACGAACTTGTTGAACTTCTTCCAAAAATGCTATCAGTTGATGAGGTATTGGATACTCCGTGACATATTGCTGTACTAAAACAGTACGCAGATTTAAAATGCTTCCAAGGATTGGTGCTAGATCTACCAAATCATTATGCTCCACATTCATGGATACCAGAGATGATGAAATGCCACGAAACGGACGAATACGATACAGGGGATTGAAAGTATGGGACATCCAAGACAAAATTATAGAATGAAGAACAGTAAGTGATAATCCCTTTTCTTCGTCTACATGTATATATCCAATGCTTTTTGAGCTTACAACTGAAATGGGAACTTGTTCCACAGCAGTATTTTCAGAAATTAGAGTTTTCAAGGATTTCATGTGCAATATATCTTCTTTAAAGATGTCAATCTTTAGACAACCAGATAGGATAAGAGTTTTCAAAGATTTCAACTTATATGCCTCACTTGGGAGATTGCTTAGGTTTGTACAGCCTTTCAAATTTATTAGTACAAGATTGTGTAAATATCCAATAGATTGGTGTACCTTGCCCAAACTTACACAATGCTTGAGAATGAGCTTTTCAAGACTTGGTAATTTTGAAAAATCAGGGGTTTCTGTCAAGTACTTTGAATGACTAAGATTCAGGATTTTTAGCAACGGAAAAACCTGCAAAAATATAGTATTTTTACAAAATAAAGGAAACCGTGATAAGTGATAATTGCTATTAATGTGAAAAGAAAATGGGATGTAATATATATACCGTGGGTTCTTTCCACAGTAGTCTGAGATTACTGTGCTGGAAATCCATCGCAATTGCACCTTCCAAGTAAAAGTTGTTAGGTATGTGCTCTAAAGAAAATCCTTGCCAGGAGATACATCTCAGTTGCTTAGAAAGATAGCCGTAANTAGAAGTTTTTGTTAGAGGTTATTTAGTATCATGAAAAGGTATGAAATAAAATGTTGTGTAACTGCAAAAACAAGATATATCATGTGATTTCACTTCATAATTATAAGAAATCCTTTAATAATATCTTTTTATAATATTTTAATATTATTTACGTGTTATTTTATGATTGGTCTAAAATTATTTTATATTCAATAATAATAAATATAAACATTAATATGAACACGATATTAAAATATTTATTATTTTTAATTTAAATGATTTCTGAAGTTGAAGTCACGTTAATGTGATGTGACTATATTTATACAATTTTAACTTATAAATATCTTATTTAAAGTTATGGAAACTTAACACGACTTTCTCTTAGTAAACTCGTCTCAAGATGATATACTTATATTTTGTAATTTTTTAAATTATTATTCATTTTAATAAATTTAGAACAGAAATGACAATAATTTGGTAAAAAAAGAACCGATCATAGTAGGTACAAAGAAAGAAAAGCATAATACACTTGAGGAAAGGGAAGACACTCCCAACGAGAGAGGATGAGTGCAATCTTCTTGACCACAAGCCACTCATTCCCTACCCTCTCTTCAATTATATCTCAATCTGCCCAAATCTTCTGTAAGCTTTGATCTTCTTATCCTTATCCTTTCACTCCTACGCAATCCTATCATATATGGATCCTGGGCATCGGTTCCGCACCTCCAACGGATTCTTTGTCATCTATCTGGCCGACGTAACCTCCTACACTAACTCTTATTCGTTTTTACCTCCATATCATTAGGGCTCGTTACATTGACTTTCTGTCAATTGATCATTACACACTAGATAGACAGCTGTCTTCTGGACTTCAAATCCTTTCTCAAAAATAATAAAAATCTCCAACTTGTCTCCATATCCCAGATGTGATATCACGCCCTGCCAATCAACATCATTCAAGGACGTTAGTGTTTCTCGATTGAATAACTGGATTATGCACTTTGTGTAATTAACCATTAAGACACAACTAAGATATTGAGTTGGGTCTCCCAAGCGTGATAAATGCTCAACACACAAAATCATTCCATTCATGTGAAAATTGTCAGGCACGGTGAATTTGGCTGAGTGTCCCTCATTCTTATAAGCCAACCAATGAGGATAATTGTCACTAGGGACAAAAACTTTACGAGTCTGTCTGGCTGCCAATTCCTGTAGCATGAGAAAAATAGCTTAGTCATTTTGAAATGGTTCTGTTCATATGGACTTCTTCCATCATTTTACCATTTCAAAGTACAAAACACACAATTTAAAAACATAACAAGATACTGAATAAATTACAACACAGAAGGGGAAGGTACTGAAAGAATGTCCGGATTGAAGTTACTTTGTATTTAATGGAATGTTTCATGTTCTTAAAATTAAGAGCTAAAATGAATATAAAAGTAAGTAGATAAAGTAAAAAAGAGATGGAACCTCATCATAAATGCTTTTGCGGAGAGTGTTGAAGACTTCTTCTTGATAACCTCCAATTTGAATCAAATATGGACTGAATGGATGGTTGGAAAGTTGTGTAGATGTAGTCCAAGTTACACAACGAACTTCTTCCAAAATAGCTGTTACTTGTTGAAGTATTGGATACTCCGTGACACATTGCACTAAGACAGTACGCAGATTTAAAATGCTTCTAAGGACTGGAGCTAGATCTACCAAATCATTATGCTCCACATTCATGGAAGCTAGAGATGGTGAAATGCCACGAAACGGACGCATATGATACAGGGGATTAAAAGTATGGGACATCCAAGACAAAATGATAGAATGAAGAACAGTACGTGATAATCCCTTTCCTTCGTCTACCTGTATATATCCAATGCTTTTTGAGCTTACAACTGAAATGGGAACTTGTTTCACAGCAGTATTGTGAGAAATTAGAGTTTTCAAGGATTTCATGTGCATTATATCTTCTTTAAAGATATCAATCTTCAGACAGCCAGATAGGATAAGAGTTTTCAAGGATTTCAACTTATATGTCTCACTTGGGAGATTGCTTAGGTTTGTACAGCCTTTCAAATTTATTAGTAGAAGATTGTGTAAATCTCCAATCGATTGGTGTACCTTGCCCAAACTCACACAATGCTTGAGAATGAGCTTTTCAAGACTGGGTAATTTTGAAAAGTCAGGGGTTTCTGTCAAGTACTTTGAATGACTAAGATTGAGGATTTTTAGCCACGGTAAAACCTGCAAAAATATAGTATTTTTACAAAATAAAGGAAACCGTGATAAGTGACAATCGTTATTAATGTGAAAAGGAAATGGGATGTAATATATACCGTGGGTTCTTTCCACAGTAGTCTGAGATTACTGTGCTGGAAATCCATTACAATTGCACCTTCCAAGTAAAAGTTGTTAGGTATGTGCTCTAAAGAAAATCCTTGCCAGGAGATACATCTCAGTTGCTTAGAAAGATAGCCGTAATCTCCAGTTAGCCGTACATGATCAAGTTGCAAGAATCTCAACGTCTTCATTTCCTTAAAAGCATCAGCTTTGAAGGAATCACTGTTCGTTAACTTAGTGTTCAGAGACAATCCCACAATCGCTTCTGTCCCCTGTAATGATACGAGAAAATAAATAAATTTGGAAATCACTATTGTTAGCTCACTGGAAAATAAAACATAAAGCAAAACACATTCAAGTTTCAACATGTTTTATAAAGAATGTACTCACAGTATTCTTTGTCAATACATCAAGTACATCCTTGGGAACCCACAATCTACTGCGCTTCCCAGGTTGCATTGTTGAAGTTTGCCGCACAATCTCTCGTCCCATGTCCCGAAGCAAATGATGCATTCCAAGTTTATTCTTCTTTTCAATTTTTACAAGTCCACGTTCTATAAGAACTTTTAGTCCAATATCAGCATGTAGTCCACAGCCATTTAGTATCTCCGTGACATAGTCTCTATCTTTCCCGATAAAGAAACAACATACATCAAGAAATATATCCTTTTCCATTTCGTTACATAAGCCGTCAAAGCTTATTCTTAGGATGTTCTGAATTTGAGTATTGGGAATTATTTCTAGTTTTGACAATACACTTCTCCATTCATTCTCTGACCTCTTACTCAAATAAGAACCAAGGACTTCAAGAGCGAGTGGTAGTCCACCACAATAAGCAACGGCTGATCTTGCAAGTTTATTGAAGTCTTCTCTTGGTTTTGCTTGTCTAAAAGCATGCCAACTAAAAAGCTCAGCCGAGTCATTTTCGTTCAGTTCATCCATCTCATAAACATAATCAACTTTATGTTGACAAAGCAGGTCTAAATGTCTAGTCGTAATGATTATTACACTTCCCGCACGAAACCGTATACCGTTCTCACAGAGGTGTTTTAATTGGTCTATCTCATTCACATCATCAAGGACAATGAAACACTTTTTTCCAGAAAGACGGTTCTCGATAGTTGTTTTTTCCATCTCACCACTCTCTATTTTCACATATTTAAGGACATCTGAAAGAAGTTGCTCTTGTAATTGAACAAGGCCGCTTCTGCCATCTGTTTGACAAACTTTTCTAATATCTTGAATGAAACTTTTATCACCAAATGTAAAAGGAATTTTATTGTAGATGGCTTTCGCTAAGGTAGTTTTACCAGATCCTCCCATTCCCCATATCCCTATCTTACAGACTTTGTTGGGTTGATTTTCAAACAATTCAATCACATTTTTCACGTGGATTTCTAATTCAACAGGAAATTTAGTGACAGGCAAGGCGCGGTCTAGTTTAACGAGAACAGACTTAACAATTTCCTCCACTAGTTCAGCATCATCCCTTCCGGTTCAATAAATACAAAAAGACGCAAATGTCAAATAAAATGAGCCCAAATCGTAGAGGTTTGTTCAGATAAATATGCACTTTGAAGAAAAGAAAAAAAAACTCTAAGTCTTTAAAATTGAAATTTTAATTGTAGAAACCTATATTGCATCTATTTGAACAAGTTTTCTGCTTTGTACATTTAGAAAAAGAAAAAAAAAATTAGGTAAATTTTTCCATAACAAAATTAAAATTCTAAAGAAAATTATGAGAGAAGTTTTACAAATTAATTTATATATAAATTAACTTTTGATTATAAAAAATATTAATATTTTTAAAATATATTTATAGAATTTTATTTTTTTTCCCGAAAAAGTTTTCAAACTTTAGATTGATTTACCTGTGTTTGCTCTCATCCCAAGCAGGCAGATTTCTAACCCGGTTGAGTGCGCGTCTCATTTTTGCCTTTTGTCTGATTCTCTTACAAATCTTCAAAATTTTTACCATAGGAATCTAAAACAAAAATGAAATTTTGGTAAATATGATTTTATAATTAATATAAAAGAAATATATTAATGTTAAAAAATAAAATTATTTTTTTCAAACGTAATTTTATAATTAATATAATAAAAATTTATTAATAAAAAATTAATTTTTTTAAGACCTACAGCAATATTTTACCTTCGTCTCCGCCCCTGTCGTCCTCTGTGCTCTCGTCGCATTTCTAAACTTCTCTTTCGAAACACGGGCAACGGATAGATCAACATCACGATTCCGATCACGTACATGGGATGGATCAATATCACTCTTCTGATCATAGGATGAGTCAATATCGTAAAACACAGGAATAATCATTAGACCGTAAGTTTCGTGACATTCAATAATTCTCTCAAGGTCTTCAACACACCGAGAAGATTCAATGTATGCTTTGGTGAAAACAACTATTCCAATCTGAAACCTTGTAATTGATGGCATAAATTTCTCTGACAGCACTCCCACGGCAACCAGAGAAGGTTCTACTCCAGCTTGTAAAAGGCCAGACCTCAGATGAGAAACGAAATTTTCATGAATGTCGTCTTCCAAACAATGGATGAACACCTCGCCTGAGACTAATTTAAAAAAAAACGAAAGAGAAGAAGACACGGATGCCATGGATCTGAAGTCAACTGTTAAAGGAGAAAGCAATAACACAAAATGAAGAGATGATA